AAAACTAAATCTACCAACTAAACCACAATATTTATTTTAACTTATTTAAACAACATAACAACTTTTGAACTTTAACTACATTAGTTTTGACTTAATTCCAACAACTAAATTAACTAACTAACCCACATTATTTATTTTAACTTATTTAAACAACTTAACAACTTTTTAACTTTAACTACATTAGTTTTGACTTAATTCCAACAACTAAATTCACTAACTAAACCGACATTATTTATTTTAACTTATTTAAACAACTTAACAACTTTTTAACTTTAACTACATTAGTTTTGACTTAATTCCAACAACTAAATACACCAACTAAATCAATTTTGTCATCAATAGGATCAACTAGTGTTGGTATTTATGCTTAACAAATATATTATTACTAAATTTAAAACCAATTGTCAACACTAGATTGACACAAATCGATCTTGCAAGAAAATCAATTTTGTCATCAATAGGATCAACTAGTGTTGGTACTTATGCTTAACAAATTTATTATATCTAAATTCAAAGTTAAGTGTCAACACTAGATGGACACAAATCGATCTTGCAAGAAAATCAATTTTGTCATCAATAGGATCAACTAGTGTTGGTACTTATGCTTAACAAACACTAGATGGACACAAAAAAAAATATCACAAAATTAAAGCGAAGTATCAATACTAGATGGACACAAACACATTATAGAAAACAATTGTACTTGAAATTTATAAATTTAGAAGCACCAAACCTTATCTCCTACTTTGATGAAAGAAGCAGAATAGTCTTGTATCAATTTTTTTAGATGTTGAGCTTCCTCAGTTGCCTAGCACGAAAAGAAACAAATGTTAATCAGCTCATTGAAACTTTACTGTCTAGCAGGTTGTCTACTAGAATTTTATCGTATTATCTAAAAGGTGTATGACGTTTGATGCATATTCTTTATGAAGCTCTGCATTGACCATTCAATCAACCCCTTTTCATCTATCATCTAAGTAGTTCACTATAAGTTGTCAAACTTATTAAATTCCACCTTCACCCCTAAACTTCTTGGAGTAAAAAATTATTTTCTTGGTGAGTATTGCTGGTTCGGTATGTGTGTGTGTGTGTTCGGCTAACATTAAGACTAATAAGAGCGCAAGCAAATTCTGAACAAACATAGGAATCTTGGATGGTGAAAAATAAATTGAACAAAGTATATTAGTACTCTAATTTTGTGATACTTCAACTAAATGGAAACAAAAGTGATCTGTTATGGAGGTTCTAAAAATTCACCTTGAGTAAGAGGGTCGAGGATGGTGGTGCGAATTGAGAAAGCTGATATGGAGGCGGCGCCGATCGGAATGGAGGCAACGCCGATCGGGATGGAGGCGGCGCGACTTCCTACTGCTGGTGTGACGTGCCTCTGCTGCGCGCGACCTCGATCTGCTGATGCGCGCAACGTGCCTCTGCTGATGCGTTGGTGGCGTGGCGCCGATCGGAGATGGTGGCGTGGCGTGGGGCCAGTCGGGGATGGTTGAGACTTAGACTTTAGAAGTAAGTCTTGATATTATCATTCTTTTTTTAAGAGAAATTTTTAATTTACCGACCACGGGATGTCGGTATTTTTTAAAATAATTATCTATATTTAAAAATATTTAATAAATACCTACATCGTGAAGTCAATATTATTTAAATAAAATAATCATTTAAATATACCTACCTCTTTAGGTGTTAATTTTTTAATTTATTTTAATATAAACTCACCTCGATCAAGTTAAAATAATTTAAAAAATTAACTTGATTGATAAATTAAATTTATTAAATTAAACTTCGGTTGATGTGTAGTTATATATATATATAATTTAGCTACACATCAACAGAAGTTTAATTTAATAAATTTAATTTATCGATCAAGTTAATTTTATAAATTCAAATTATATAACTCCTAATTATATAAATTTAATTTTATTGATCAACAAAAGTTTATCAATATCAAATTTAATATATAAATCTCCTTGAATTGATCATCGGTATTTCTTTAATTGATAATGTTTTTTATATCTAAATCACTAGTATATAAGACTTGATTTGTTAAACTACTCGAGGAGTATATAATTAATCAACGTATTTCAAACTCCGATGAAACATCTTTTACATGTCATCATAATTAGGAGGTGATCACTACACTTGACATCCATTCAATTAGATCGAACGTGTATAATAATACTATCTCGTATTTCATACTCGAATGGATTATATGTTAGCTCTTCACCTCTACATCATGACATGAGATATTAAGTTCATCATTAGACGACGGACTGATAGAATTTGTACATTACTCTAGAAATATAAGTATAATTATCTCCTAATTCATATCAACGTAGTTTCACACTCTAAATATAAATTATAGATGTTTTTTATTTAATCCACGAATTCTAACTTTTTATTTATAAAAATATACAAAATTGTTACACTTTTTGAACAATTAATTGTAGGTGTAAAATGAAATTTTAGTATTATGCACAATAGCAAAATTATGATTATTAATAGGAATATTTTAAACAAACCGACCTCCGGATGTCACTTTTATTAAAAGTAATTAGATTTAATAAAATATACCGACCTCATGAGGTCGGTATTCACATTAAATTTAAGTAATCATGTTAATTAAATAATAGTTGACATCGGGAGGTCAGTAATTTATATTAAATTATTTTTTAACTTGTATAAAACCGTCATTCGGAGGACGATTTATTTAAAGTTAATTGAAAATAATAATTTATTACATACTATTTAATTTTACCAACTTCCGGAAGTCCGTATTATAATTTTTTTGTTTTTTATTTTACACAAAATCGTCCTCTGGAAGAAGATTTAAATAAAATTAAATCAAAATAATTAAAGCGACATTCGGAGGTCGGTATTTTTATTTCATCTACTTTTAATTAAAGAGACATCCGGAGGTCGGTTTGTTTAAAATATTCCTATTAATCATAATTTTCCTAGCATAAAACTAAATTTTGATTTTACACCTATAGTTAATTGTTTAAAAAAGTGTAACAATTTTGTATAATTTTATAAATAGAAAGTTAGATCAATAATCCATATTTAGCGTATGAAATTACGTTGATAGGAAAACCGACAACAAGTAATCGGTTTTTATGCAAAATAAAGTAGGAAAACCAAAATGAATTATAATAAAAATTGACCTCTTGATAATATATTGTTATTTATTTATTTGTTTAGTACCGACATCAAGAGGTCGGTTTTTATTGTAATTCATTTTTTCCGAGAAAAATTCCGACCTCCAGAAGTCGGAATTTGGTTTTCCCGCTTTATTTTGCATAAAAATCGACTATTTGTAAATACCAACCTCCAGAGGTCGGAAATTACCGACCTCCATTTGAGGTCGGAAATTTTTAGGTCGGTATTCACTATTTTTTTAGTAGTGCAATAATGATAAGCATAAACACGATTGGTTCATAAAGGTGTGCGCAAAGATTTTTGCAGAGCCAATTCCTAATTGGTTCATAAATTGGTGGTCATACCACGGTCCAACAGTTCAAATCCTACCGGAACCATTCCTAAATTTATATAAAGAATGGATCAAAGTATGGCCAGATTTAAACAGATTATATCATGCAGATCATATCTGCTGCTTGGAAAATATAGACCAGATCTATATTTTTATAGAATTCTCGATTCCATGGATTCACAAGTGGACTCCTGAAATAGTATTCACGAAGGAAGATATTCCTTGTCTTTACCGAACTTATTACAATAATTTTTGGGATAAACTGATGAAACAAGACCCTAAGACCAAACAATTAATCGATCAAGAACTGGTAGACTCCATTAGCGAAAAAAATAAGGAATATATTCAAATCCCACAAAAGGGAATCGTTCACGATACCTCCGTACGACATACCGCCAGGAGAATCTCCTTTCAAGAAGGAGACAAAGAAAAAATGATTATGGACTATTTGGAAGAAGTAAGAAAAACTTTACTTCAAACAATCACTCAGATAGATAAATCTGATACTTCAATGAGAAGCGAAACAAGTATTGATACTGCCGGAGAATCGCAGCAGGCGGAAACCGACAAGATGCTAACCACTATCGAGTTACAAGATGCGGAAGATTTCCTGCAGCAAATGAAAGCCATGGATGAAAGACATGGAAAAGCATCATAAATAAAGAAACATAGCCATGTGAAAATGAGCCCATTCAACAGGAGATACGCTGTTGCCAGAGCCCACTCAACAGTAGAAACACTGTTCTTTAACAGTAGATAACTATTTAGGGACCCAGATAGTGGGACCCCTGTACTGTACATAGATTCCTTATGTTTTTTATTTTTTCTATATAAGCCTTAGCTTTCTTTGAAATGCATATTAAGCATCTGGATATTTTTCAAGAAAATTGTAATACAAAATGGTTTGGTTATTTCAAAACCAAAAATGAGTTTATATCAAACAGATGTTCGATTTCTAGGACATTAAATTCGTCAAGGAAAAGTCACTCCCATTCAAAGAGCTATTGACTTTGCCTCAAAATTTCCTGATGTTATTACTGACAGGACTCAATTACAGAGATTTTTGGGAAGTTTAAATTACATTTCCCCATTTTATAAAAATCTTTCTAGAGATTTGGCTCCCTTATATGATAGGTTGAAGAAGGACTATAAATCTCCTTGGACTGAAAGTCATACCAATTTGGTCAAAGAAATCAAGCTACGAGTACAATCACTACCATGCTTGACTTTAGCCAACCCGGCTTGGCCAAAGATTATTGAGACGGATGCGTCTAATATTGGTTATGGAGGGATTTTTAAACAGATTAATCATCATGATAAAAATGAATATATGATTAGGTTTCATTCTGGAAAATGGAATGAGGCTCAGAAGAAGTACGCAACAGTGGCTCATGAAATGTTGACTATCGTTAAATGTGTTTTAAAATTTCAGGATGATTTATACAACCAGAAGTTTTTGATAAAGACTGACGCTCAATCGGTAAAATTTATCTTCGATAAAGATTTCAAGCATGATGCTTCGAAATTAATATTTACAAGGTGGCAAGCGCAATTAGCCCCTTTTGTCTTTGAAATTCAATATAAAAAGGGAGTTGATAACTCATTATCGGATTTCTTATCCAGGGAATACATTCAATAATCATGTTTTTTCAAACCTTTCTTGATAATGAAACTCTCACTATTATATTGAGGGTTCTCACTTCCTTATCCAAAGATCTAAAAGATCTTATCATTACAAAGATTATTGATAATATTCTAAATGAAGATTTCTCTCATATTCTTGTAGAATACTATTTAGATGATTATCTGACAGATTATTTCTCTGAATAATGACGAAAGGATGTTATGTCTGCAAGATGGATCCACCATGGATTCACATCAAAGGAAGAAGAAGGGGAAGATCAGCCCCAGGAAGAGGACTGTCATACGGAGCCATGGCAAGTTCATCACAAGGATCGTCATACAGATCCTCATCAAATTCCCTAGTTATACAATCGGGAAAAAGAATGTTGATCAACAAAAAGATTTCTTCCCAAGAAGAGTCTTCATCCAGTTCGAAGTAAATGGTTAATTTGGAAGATATTCCAAAAGATAGTCCATTATATGCTCATATGCAGGAAGGTTAAAAGCAAAAAGAGACTTTTGCTTCTATCGTAAAAGAGGATACTGATGATATTAGATCCTATGAAAAATTGCAAAAGAAAGAAATGATATTTCTTTTAGACAACTCTGACCTTCAGAGAAAAGATGAACCTTGGAAGATATTTCAAAGGTATTTTATAAATGGATTATACTATCCGGGTGAGTCATACAAAA